AATAAGACTGCCAGCTCTCTTGGCTGCTGGCTCCTTTCTAACTTGCAGTATATTACAGCTCGTGCTTCAGACCAGAGCCTGTGTGGCTCCTGCAATCCTAAACACGTTTGCTCTCGAACTCAGTAAATGAGGGAACCAATTCCCAATACCGTGCACCCCTTGTGCGAGTGCCAGAGTCCAAAAATAGGACACCTAGACTTGTGCCCAGACAGTGGCAGTGCTGGAACCACCACAGGACAGGTGACAGATGGATCCCAGCTTTCTCCCACCAGTCAGACCTGTGCAGTGCAGCACAGAGATGGAGACCCGGGCCAAAAAGCTGAGTGTTCATCTGGGCTTGATCTCCCTCCTGCGCTTAGTGATGCTCCGGGCACATGCCACCTTTTGGGGGATGCTAAATGCTCCCCTTCATGAGGTCTGCTGCAGGTGAGAGCTCCCTGCAGAGACTTTTCTGCCTGTCAAAGCGCTGGTCTGGGGGGACGTGGTGGCTTTGACTGCGCGGTTCTGGCTGCAGCGGGGCTGAGCTCTGCCCCCCGACCCGGTGCTCGGCTCACCCCGCGCTCGCTGCCGCCTCGCTGAGCGCGCACCAGCTTCGTGTGAGCGGGGGCACCGCAGGGCTCCCCGGGGAGGCTCCCCCGCCTCCAAACAGCCCGCGGCGGGTGCGTGGGTCCCCGCACGCTTCCCCCCCACTGCCCCCGCCGCTTTCCCCACGCGTGCGGCTGCCCGGCGGCACCGCGGGGGCTCCGCGCCGAGCGCAGGGCAGCCGGTGCGGTCCCGCCGCCCCCGCTCACCTGCACCTGCATGAAGGAGCCGCGGTAGAAGCAGCAGGCGGCCGCGGACAGGGCGCTCCACAGGCTGCACCGCTCCGTCATGGCGCGGCGCGCCCGGCGGGGGCTGCCCCGGCCCGGGCTGCACCGCCGCTGCCTCCGCCGCCGCCGGGCTTCAATTTCAGCCGCTTCCCCGATTACCTCATCCCTTGTCGGCTGCGAGGGGCGGGCACGGGGCGGCAGCTCCGCCCCGGCCCGCCCCTGGGGGCCGCCCCGGCTCCGAGCGGCACCTCGGGGGGAAGCGGAGCCCCGGCTGTCTGCGCCACTGGGGGAACTGGGAGCCAGCTCCTCCCAGGGGAACCCACGCTGCCATGCCACAAAGGGAGGCAGCATCCCAGAGGGGACCGGGCACCCCGGCTGCCTGTGCTCTGAGGGGAACTGAGAACCGGCTCCTCCGAGAGGAACCGGCACTCCCATGTCGCAAAGGGAACAGGCATCCCTGAGGGGACCAGGCATCTCTGAAGGGAACCGGCAGTCCTATGTTGCAAAGGGAAGCAGCACCCCTCAGGGCACCAGGCACCCCGGCTGCCTGTGCCTTGAAGAGAACCAGCATCTCTGAGGGCATCGAGCATCCCTGAAGAGAACCGGTACCCTGGTTACCCGTGTCCTGAGTGGGACTGGTTCCTCTGAGGTGACTCAGCTCCTCAGAGGGGAACAGACACCCCTGAGGGGAACCAGCACCCCTGGCTGCCGGTGCTCTGAGAGAAACTGGCTCCTTTGAGGAGATCAGACACCCTGAGGGAACCCAACACCCTTTTCTCCCCATCCCAAATCTGCCTGCTCTTCGCAGTGATGCCTGTGGGTCAGGGGCAGTTTTGTCCCTTATTGCCCATCCTGTCTTCCTTCATCCCCACATGGTGATACCTTTCTGGGAGATACACCAGTGCCCACCTCATATGGCGGGGAGCCAGCTGCCTCTTTCCTGTGTAGGCTGTCTCTGACTTGTGTTTAATTAAGGCTCTGCTTCGGTTTAATTAAGGCCACACTATCACGTATGGGATGTGCAAGGCAGCACTGATGACTCAAAGCATTGCTCCAGCCTTGACTCTTGAATAAATCCCCCAAACCCACTGCTGGCACTGCTCTGTGCTGGAGACAGGCAGAGGCTCCCTCAGCCCTGGCAGTGACTGGGACCCACACCTTGCTGTTCTCCCTCCACATCTGTCCTGCACTGCACGGCCTGGATTTGGCTGTGCTTCACTAACTGGGGGCTTCACCCTCCCATCTGGCCGAGGAGCCCCACACCTCCCAGGCGACACTGTGACCTCGGAGAGGTATTCCTGCTGCCTCTGACCACAGAACCCTGCAGCCTTCCTCTAATTAATTCAAACGAGCCCCTCATATTACCAGGCAAGGAGACAGCATCTGAGGCTGATGAGATACAGGTCCCTGCCTCAGCAAGCAGCTCTTCCGCGCAGAACAAAGAGCTCAGAGGCGCTGGCCGGGCTCTCACTCTGCCCCTGGTTTTGCAGGGGAGAGAGGAGGCAGGAGAGCAGCACGGCTAAACAGCAGGACAGGGCTGAGGCATGGGAGAACTGGTGGCAGCACACAGCCTGCGGGCAGGGAACGTGGGCCACCAGGTCCCACGGGTCCTATGGGTGCCTGCAGTCCCATCAGCATGGACAGGGACTCTCCTCCTTGCCTCCTGCCTGGGGCTGAGGGACAGAGCAGATGGCACTGTGCAGGGACATGCTGCTCCAAAAAGATGCAATGTGAATCATCCTCCTGCCAGGGCTTCTCCCCTGTGATGGGCTCCATGGTTTCCTATTGAGGCTTTCACCAACAAGTGAGCGGGAGCCTCATGGGGTGCTGCAGGGTGAAGTCCTCCAGCTGTGACTGTGCTGCCCCTCCTCACAGGGAAGCTGAAAATCCCTGACTGAGCTCTCATAGGACATATGACAGCTTTACTGCTTGCTGCTCTCCCAAAGGGTAGCATCTTTCTGCAGCTCCTTCACCTGCACAAAGGCCAAAGCTGGGGTGGCTGGGATGTTGAAATAGAGAGCTGGGTGTGCAGATCCCCAGGCAGCTCGGAAATAACAGCCCTTAGGCTATTATTAAAGCACATTAATTACCAAGTGCTTATTGATCCTGGCTTTCCAACCCTCTCCAGCTCCTGGTTGCATGTCCAATCAGGCCAGGCTTGGTGACAGGAGCACCAGCCATGGCCGTTTTGCAGCTGAAGCTCAAGGGCTGATGTTTGGCAGACCCTTGGTGCACACCTGGAGACAGGCCTGCCTGTCAGCCTTTGCTCATGAGAGCTTTGCAACACATCCTCTCCCTCTTCCTGACTCTCTCCTTCTTTGGCTCTTTTCTTCCTGTCTTTCCCTTGCTCACCCCTCACCAGTGTTTTCCCTCTGTTTGTTTCCCTCCCAGCGACATCAATCAGTGGCAGACCCCAGCCCCATCCTTTGCTCCAAAGGCAGGCACAGCAGCCTCTTTCCCACCCTAAATCCTGCAGGACCTGAACACTGCTGGGTGCTGAGCACCCTGCAGCTGCACGGGCTGGCAGCCAGGCACAGCGCCTGCAATCAGCTGGAGTGTCCCTGTCATCCCGGTCACTCACACTCTAGATAATTACTGATTTGACTAAAATAGCTGCTGTCACTGCAGCCATCAGTTGCTTCTCTGACCAAAGGGAAGTGGTGTATAAATCACAGCCCATGGGCTGTTTCTGGACACCACGGGGATGGATTAGAAATAAAGGCCAGATAGCTCAGGTCTGGGACCTGACTGGATGGTAGGTAATTCTCCTGGCTCACCAAAAAGTGCTTGATCCCAAAGGCAGAGCCCTCTCCATTGCTCCCCACCTGTATTGTTTCAGTCTATTAAATCATGAGCTGTAAAATGTGTCCATCTCTGGGTGCACACACTGACAGTACCAAGGAAACACCCCCAAGTATTCTGTTCCTCCCCTCACTCCTCCTTGCCCTCACAGGACTTTCCTGTGTCAGCAGGAGTTTCTCTGCATATCTTGAGGTCCCCATACCAGGGCCCTTCCTTGCAGAGGCCAGTGTTTTGGCTTTGCAGGGGAAAATGAGCCACATCACAGCCAGACCCAATACGCGCAGTCAGAGCTTTGTTGTCCTGGCACACGTCCCACTTCCAGCTCTGTGAGCTCCCGTTCTGCCAGTCCCACATGGCTTAAGGGTGCAGAGAGGAGAACATCCCACCCGCGGGATCGCTCTGCTACACGTCAAAAACCTCATCTGACCCCACTGCCCAGAGGCTGCCAGTTGCCAGACTTGACATGTGGGGTCCTCATTAGCCCCAGGGATGGACATGCAGGGAGGTGACCCCTGTTGGAAGCAGCAGATGAGCTCAGGGGCCAGCCAGCTCTCTCCCAAGCTTGCCAGTTGGTGCTGCCACAGGGGGTTCCCACATTTCAGTGTCTGGCTATAGCCACCACCAGGAGCCCCAAGTCCAAAAGATGAAGGTGCAGGGCTCTGTGCTAATTAGACCACCCAAGCTGGGCATCTCAAATCACTTCTCAACAGCCCCATCTGCCCAGTGGCAGACTAGATTTGATCCCCACTGGGCAACGGGACTGAGGAAGCTCCAACTCTCCTTAAACAAACATCCCAAAGGCCATGCCATGGCAGTGACCACCCTGTCACTTCAGTGGGTTTTAGTGCTGTGCCCAAACTTCACAGCACTCCTGTCCCTGCTCCTCTGTGCTTGCCCATCGTGCCAGCAGCCTCCTGCAAAAGGGCCGCTCTCCTCCAGAGCCAGGCGCCTCACTAATGAATTTCTGGCCAGACATGAAGAGTCCTCAGGAATGTTAATAGTTTGCTGGAGGATAAGCAAAAGATTTGGAGAGATTTACACCAACTTTCATGTGACAGCCACAAAAGTGGCTCAAACCCTTCCGTTTCTTTACGTGGGGGCGGAGGGAGGAGGCTGCATCTGCGGGCGTTCACAAGTATCTGGGAACATGAAATGCAAGCAGCTCCTGTGGGAACAGCACTGGGGCAACCACGTAGGGTTTGTGTCACCTCTGTCTTCCCTGGCCTTGCCAGAAATATCTTCCAGGGCTAAAGAGAGAGTCCAGGTGGGAGGAGGGGTGCAAAACTGAGCAGCTTGCTTGTGTAAGACCTGGGTAGTTCCAGGGCCACAATCCCCTCTCCACCCCTGGCACCCAGCTGGGACAGGATGTGATCACATTTTGTGTCTTACCTTCACGTATTCACTGCCAGACTCCAGGCCATCGTGGTGGCTAAAAGGAAGAGAAACAATAAAAACAGATAAGTAAAGGGCAGCAAGTTGTGACATTTAGGTCAAAGGCAGTGGTGGCACAGCTGGGGGACCTGGGGTCTGTGCCCCTTGTCTTGCCATGGTGCCAAGAGCATGGCCATGGTTTTGGGAGAGGTTCCCAGGGCCCCAGCACTGTTCCTGCCTGCTCTGTGCCCACTCTCTGCACAGGGCTTATCCTCCCTAATGCGATCAGGGGAGAATGAAGCCTTTTTAGAGGATCTCACCCCAAATCGGCTTGGCACCATGTGAGCTCAACCAGGGAGACCCAGCAGCCAGGCTGGGGTCCCCGCAGGTCACAGTGCTGGGGATACATGTCCATATGGGGGGGCCTGTGTCCAGTTCCCTGGAAGAGCTGCATTCCCAGTAGGCAGCTGTTGGGACACACCACCCAGACAAGCATTTTTGACTTCATGGTTTTGTGCAACCCTACAGAATTCAAACTCCCACCAAAGCTAGGCCTGGGTGGGAGTCCTAGTCCTAGTCTTGACTGGGACTGCTTTTCATGCTCTTCTAGGTCCAGATATGTGTCCATATGGAAGAGTCCCAGGGGAACAACAGAGATACCAAAAGGAGAGAGGCTGTAACAGTCTGAGCTAGGATGTGCTATCTTAAGGTCTCACCTTTCAGAATAAAATACAAAAATCCAGATGTCTCTAACCAAAATCCAGAACCTGTTGCCTCCCCAGTGCCAAGCTTCAGTATGGACATCCTGCTGTTTGCCAAGGTTGCTTGCCTGAGCACAAGACAGCAGCAGGGGCCTGGGGATGGCAGGCTGGCACACCAGAAAAGGCAGCTGCAACTAAGGAATAACCAAATCCAAGGTCATCATAGACCTGGGATGTCCCTTTCTTGCCAGGAGCCACCTCATAAGACACATACGGGAAACTGCTGAGGATCCTGCACATAACTTCTCCCTGAGACCTGCACTGGTAGTAACCCTGGGGACCCAAATCCCTCCTCTGGGAGCTCTCTCCAGATGGAAGGTGGCACCTGGTGGCCACCCAAAAGGGAAGCAGGGATAGCAGAGGCAACCACTGCCAGACATTTTTCCACTGGACATCCCCCATAGCATTACAGTGGGTTGTGACAGAGTCCAACCATCCAGAAGACAATTCCCACTCCTGGAATCCTTTGAAGTCTTTAAAAAACATGTGGATGGGTACCTTGTGCCTCAGTTTTCCCCTCTCTGGAGATGCCTCCAGGGAGGTTTTGGCTGGCAGTGCTGCCAGAGGGGTCTGCAGGGAGTGTCAGGCAGTGCCTGCAGAAGCAGCATTTCCAGTGCCTCGTGCACGGCATTTAAGGACACGGTTTAGTGCTGAACATAGCAGGGCTGGGTTGATGTTTGCACTCAATTTTAGTGGTATTTTCCAACCTTAGCGATTCTGTGATTCTCCAAGCCCACACTGCAGACCACATCCCCTGGTGTCCAGCTTGGGAGAGGAAAAGGGTGCTGGAAATCAAGCCTATACTTTATTGGAGGTGAAGAAAATAGCAGAACATTTGGGAGCGGGGATGGATGCAGACTCCCCTGGGCAGCTGTGGGCTGCCTCTCCAGCCTGTTTGCCCTTCACACGCTGCAGAGCTGCCTGGTGCTGCGAGAGCCGTGAGAAAAAGCGGCAGGAGGACAGGGGCCTCTGGGCAGGAAGTTGGGAGCATGGGAGCAGCTGGGATACACTGTGAGAGCCCGGGCAGGAGAGGCCCCTGTGCCGGGGAAGGGCAGCAGCTGGGACCGCAGCCCCCCTGGTTCTGCACATTCCTGGAGGAAACGGCATTTTTGGGGGCAGACGAGAGCCTGGGAGAAATTCCAGGGCTGCCTTTGGAGTGTGGCCGTGGCTGAGCTGCTGAGACCCAGAGCTGCAGCAATGGTATTGGGGAGTGGGGGGCTGGTGGAGTGGATGCTCTCTTTGGGCTCGGGAAGGCATCACCATGACCCGCAAATGTGCCAGGCTCCAGGATGGCTGCTGGGAACAGTCCAGGAGGATCCTGCGAGTCCAGCCCTGGTTTGAAGCCCAGGCTCTGCTTTCCTTGGGACACTGGTGCAGGCTGTACCCCAGCCAAATTTGGGCACATCGTGCCTCAGTTTCCCCCTCTGTGGAGATGCCTCCAGGGAGGTTTTGGCTGGCAGTGCTGTCAGAGGGGTCTGCAGGGAGTGTCAGGCAGTGCCTGCGGGAAGCGGCGTTTCCGTGCCTCGCGCACGGCCGTGCACAGGGAAACCGAGTCACGTCCGCCCTGGGACCTGCCAGCGGTCATCTCCCGTTAGTCAGCGTGTCTCTGCTGGAGTCACAGCCACCGCCTTGCTCTGAGCAGCTCCACAGGCTGCCTGCCACTCCCTGTCCCACAGCAGAACAACTTCCCCTCCTCAGGCCTGATTCTGGTAAAGCCCTCCTGCCTAGAAGCATCCTCAGCCCACCCTCTTCTGGGGACTGTCCTTACCAGAAATACTCCGGGGGGACAAGTGGAAATGTACCCCAGGGCCGTATTTGTTCCCCCCCAGGGAACATGCTGCTGCCATGGCCTGGCAGGAACAGACTGTCCCCAACCCCAGGGATGTGCCTGCACAGGAGGAAGGGCTGGGGCGCAGCATTATCCCGGTCCCACTTCCTCCCACCCGCCCCACAGCAAGGCCTGGCCTTGGGATGGCTCTGGCACACGGCTGCTCCCTGAGCCAGGGGCTGTGGCAGGGGCTCCGGGTTAGACTGTGGAGAGGCAGAAATAACCCTGATGCCAAGACCTGCTCTGGTCACCCTCGTGCCTCAGTTTCCCTGGCAAACAGTAAGGCTACACCCATCACCAGGGAAGCCCCACAGGATGCAAAAAAGCATTGGGCCCCCAATTTCTGGGAACCCGTTCCCCAGGATTCAAGACACGCACGTGACCCACCCATGTCCCACTGCTGCTTGGCTCCTAGCCACACTGGCTTGGGATTTAAGTAATTTCTGGGAGACAGAGGGTCTGGGTGAGCCCTGTGCACTCTCCTCGGAGGCTCTCTGCCACTGCTGAGGCTCTGCGCTTACCGAAGGATGCAGCAGTGCTGCCAGCCCCCCAAACCTCCGAGCCCCTGGCCGCAGCCCCTGGCGCCGGGTCTGCTGTGGTTTCAGCAGCTCTTTCCTTGAGGAAAACACCACCCCGGGCTGGGAGCCTCGGCACCAAGCAGCGGCTCGGCTCCGGCATCTGCCTCCAAGTTCTGTGCCCGCCCCAAGCAAAGCCCCTTCCCAGCCTCTCCCTCCCCATCCCCTCCGCTGTGCCGGGGTGCGAGGGGTGGCCGGGGGGCCGGGACCCCTTACCTGCCCTGCCCCAGGGTGGGAAACCTCCTGCCCAGCGCTGTCATCGGCCCTGCGGGATCCAGCAAGCGCCGCTGCTCCGGGATGGGGAGCGGCTCTCCCGCGCTCTCCCGCCTTGCACTGAGCGCCGGGACTTCGGGGCGCGCAAGGCGGTGGCGGACCCTCCTCCTTCCCGTCCCAGCCCTCCTCCGGCCCACCCTTCGGGCCGCCAGGAATGTGTGGTCGGCACAGCCCGGCTCCCACCGCCGAATTTCTCCTCCTCACCCCGCTCCCGGGACCACCCGGACCTCAGGAACGCTCAGTGTCAGGAAAAGGAGCCCCCGGCCCCGGGGCGGTGCAGGGGGAAAGGGACACCGGGGCCACTTGAGCGCAGAGAGAGGAGAGTCAGGCCAGGGAAAGGGGGAGAAATGTTTTCGGGAGAAATTTGGAGTTGCCTTTGCCTGTGTCCCCAGTTTCGCACACCCTCCTGGGCTGGGGTCGCATTTGGCCCCTTATGCCCAGATGCCATGGGGTTGGAGGATAAAAATCCCTAAGGTTGATTCTGCGGTCAAAACCCTCCAAAAAATCCATCCGTCATCTCAGAGGGCTGAACCTTCAAATTCCCCCGGAGGGAGAGATTGTGCCTGGAGTGGGGAATTTGTGCCCAGAGTGGGGGTTTACTGGTAGGTGATGAAATAGGGACGGAGTGTCTGGTTTCAGGATTTGCCCCTGTGCCTTGGGAGAGGCAGCGCTGCTCGGCAGAGGGGGAGAGGACAGAGGGGGTGGAAAAGCGGAGAGAGGCGGAGGAGGCTGTAACAGTGCTGCTGTGAGCTCTCCGCAGCAGCACATCCTGGTGCTGGAACGCAGCCGCCGCAGGACAAAGAGATGCCGGGGCAGAGCGGGGCTGCGAGATGTTTCCACCCCGTCCGGAAACAGGAGGGAGCAGAAATCCCACAGGAAACCTCGTTCCCATGGAGCCGCTGACCTGACCGTGCTCCAGCTGTGTTGTCCCACCGGCCAGGTGCATCCCGCTGGCACTGTGGGCACGAGGGGACATTGCAGTGACCCTGGTTGGTCCCAGCCCCCTCCTCTTGCCCTGTGGGGGAGCAAAATGGGGGTCTTAGCAGAAGGCAGAGCAAACCTCAAGGGTTATACCTGTCTGGGGAGATCTTGTCAGGATGCTCTTGTCCCTTTTCCAGCAGATCCCCATCAGTGGTCTCTGCTCCAGCTGCTGTGTCAGGGCTTGTGGTTTGGCTGGGGTTTGGAGCCAGGCTGGAGCTCAGTGTCTCTGCCCTAGGGCAGGAGACATTTTCCACAGGCTCCTGGTCTGTCCTGTCCATTGCTGCCTCCACGGTGTCCCCAGGTTCAGCTTTTTCCTCCTCCTGCCCTGCTTCTCCAGCAGTCAAGGGTGAGTCTGTGCCTGGGGCAGGGGTGCTGGACATCTCAGGGCACTTGAGGCTGGGGAGTGGGGCTGCCTGGGGGGTTTTGTTGTTGGGAGTCCCTTTCTCCCAGCAGTTCTGGCTACTCTTGTCTTTGCCCAGGCTCTTCCCTGCCTTGCCCAGATTCACCCTGGGCATGGTGCCCATGTGGGAGTACATGTTCGACGACTGGGCGTAGGGGCCAGGGCTCTTGGGCACGGTGTTGAGATCATCCTGGGTGCTGTCAAAGGGCTCTCCCAGGAAGCCGTGGGGAGGTGGGACATGTGCTCTGAGATTGTCGGCACAGCTGGGGTCCACAGGGACGCGCCGGAAGGTGAAGGAGCGGGGGATGCTGCTCAGGCTCCCAAAGCCTTTGAACCTGAAAAACTCTGGCAAGGAGAAAGGAGTGATGAGTGTGGGGTTACTGCTGGCATGGTGTGATGATG